AGCACGGCGGACCGCGGCATTAATAATTCATAATACTCCTCTCGCTCGCGTGGAGTGGTGGGGTTAAGGCTTCTGGGCGTTATAAATATTTAGATCGTCACGGAGAGAGATATATATATATCGCGCGCGCTCGGACGCCCGGGGAACCGAGCCAGAAGAAGATGAAGAACTGCAATGAGGAGGTACAGCGAGATGGCGAGATACGTGTGGACCAAACTCGAGGAGAGGATGAGAGATAGAGAGGGATTATTTCCGAAGGAGAGACTGAATATTTCAGCGTCACGCGATAACGCGTATAATAATGTAATATCTAGGAATAATCAATGAAATAATAATATAATTACGCCGACCATCCGTTCTTTTTATTTCAGAGGACAGTTTTTTCTTTTTTTTTTTTTCTTCGACTACACGGAGAGAATTTTCTCTTGGAATTTACCCTGAAAATCATGGTAATCGTGGTATTGGAAGAATTTTATGAATTTCTCTGATTAATATTTATCATAAGAAAAAATATTAATATGTACGTAGGAAATTTTACTATTGTACATCCACTGAAAAAAATTTATTAAATCTTTCAACTAAATTACTATTTTTTAAATTGAACAAAGGTTTAAGTCAAGTTAAGACGAGTTTGAATTTTGAATGAGATGGTGATTTCGTTCGTAAACTGATTTGGAACCATGTTAAAACAAAGTCCTAAAATTTTAAGTTTGTACTTTATTTTTTCTTCGAAGAAACGGTCACCGTAAATATAATAATACAAATCTCAAAATCTCATTTATTACATAATTGATATATAATAATTTAAAAATAATATAATAATAAATATATATTGTCGAGATCTCTCGGGCGAAGCTACTATTATTATCTGCGAGTTCTTTATTAAAGTGACATTGTCAGGGGCGACAAATCGTCGTGAATATGTTGTCGAGTTAAATATATACGTTAAAATGATTGTATATATAAGTTTTTAAATGAAATGTCTGGTGACGTCACGCGTTAAACACTCTTCCAGTCATCTCGCAGTTTCCTGTTAATTTCCAAGAACGGACTACTATTGCTCGGATAAACACAATGATTATTGCAATCATTTTCTTACTTTACGTCGCGCGCAAGGAGCAAAGGAATACTGTTATTATACCACTGCGATTATCGTTATAAACTGGTTTGATACGCTCTTTTTTTCTCAACGAAATGCGCGAATTATTATTTATAAGAAGACTTTTATTTTCAATCTCTTTATATTTTTGTAAAAAATCTCGAGGGAAATTTCATCTCGCGCGTTCTTCGTATTTTTTTTTTTTTACGCGAGAGAATTAAAATTTGCGCGAATATTATGATTAAAAGCTTGAATATCTGAAATGATTCTAATTGTGCTCGATCATTTCCTTGATTATATAGAAGCGAAACGGGCGAATATAAATTAAACATCGTTCGCTTAAATATATCGATACATCATAATAAAATCTCGTGTGGTTTTCATATGCAAAAATTTTATATGCATTAAGTTGATTTAAAAATGGAATCAAACTTTTTTCTTAAATCAGTAGCAACGTTATTTCGATTTTCATCCTTCTTCATTCTCTGAACCAAGTAAGGAGAAATTTCAATCTCTCTTTTTTTTAATAAAAATATCTCATATTCTTTTACGTCTTTTAAACGATGTCATGTAAATGTAAATTGGTTAAGAACAGAAACAGGAAACGCACGACTGAGAGAGTGACCGAGTTTAGAAAATTATATTCTCTTCGTTTGTATATGTACATGATGTATGTATTTTCATATATTACCGGTTGTAAACATGGTTTCTCGTAGTATATTTTTTTGCTCAAAGTCTATGATTCGTTTAGTTTTACGGTAAAGGGTAATAATCAATCGTCCTGGTAAAAGTAGCAGCATCAATATCAAAACATACATGTGTATACTGCGAATGTGTTATGTATGAGTCACGTATACTTTGACCTATAAATATGTTACATCGTCGAAACGTCATTAATCATTCAATAACGGTGGGTTCACAAAAATCGCACACGAAACGTACGCGTGTCTCGAATGGTGAGGATTTGGAAAACATCGCTCAGCTGATCGTATATATATATATATATATATATATATATACACACACATGTAACCGCATCGTTATTCTATTTACATTGATTCGATGATAAATTCGACGAGTCGATTACCGAACTTGGTTCGGTAAATTCGCGACTGCGAGCGAAGCGAGAGTGAATTTCGAGCCAAAGTTTCAGAAGGGACAGAAATAGCAGTCCGTTTTCCCTCCCGTAGAAATTCCTCTTGACGAAACATCATTCGCAACTCGTCCGAGGCCTTTTCCACGACTTACGCAATAAGAAAATGCGCGTATGAAATAATAAATGCGCGTTTACGCAATCGAGTGCGCGAGTGAGAGATCCTGAATTTCAGGATCGGGAGAGAGAATTTCGATTTCTAGGTTTTTTTTTTTTTTTTTTTTATCTCTTCGCGTCTTTATTCCTCCACCATTTATATATTAGAGAAGCCGTATCTTTATTTCTTTTTACATTTTTCACCAACATTATACACCGACTGTGGCGTTATTGATTTTTCCTTCTACGCGAGAGCGCATGTTTGTTCCTTTATTCCTTTCGATATTTCATTCTTTCGTGATCCCTCGATAAATTGCCACTGTGACGTGACCTTTCTTATTTCTTGACCTCGGAGAACCTTGACCCAGGCTTTCACGACAATCGATCAATCAAATTACAGTCCCCGAACTATGATATTGATCAATCGCCCTATCTTGATAAAAGGTAGCAATTAATTAAGAGTACCATTTTGAGCCGGTATCACGAAAGATTATTCGCACCCGATATGTAGGCTCGGGATATCCAATATATATATATATATATATATATATATATATATATATATATATATGTATATTGTTAACTCAGCTGATCCACTCCCGAGTTATTGGACATTAGTCAGCAGTGTGCCAGCGAAGCAGAATTATAAATCTTTATGCTGGTGATATATAAAAATACTTTATTTCCATCACATACATATATCATACTTAATAATTTTTTTTTATTGCGTTTACTCGACAGTAATTGTAAGTTAAGTCGATGTCGAAAAATTAATCCATTTAATCCATTCCAAGATAGCATTGATTGAGCGTTAGATTGCAGGTTTCGATTGTACGGCGAGAGAGATGCTGATTTCCTCAAGGTTCTTCTTCAAGAATTACCGACTCTCTCGATTGCCATTGCATAATGCACCGATAATTCGCCGGTTATTACCGTTTTGAAAAGTGTGTTTCCCTATTAGGAGGTGGTGGCTCTCTTACGTCGCTAACGTATTAGTATCCGTCTGGCATGTATAAGAGCCCATAAGTAAGGATCGATCGAGGCACGTTTAGGGCCGACGGTAAATTGAAGTTCAATACGAATTGAAATCACTCGGCGAAATGCGCGCTTTTGCCCCCGTCATAATCTGTCTTTTTGCCGCGCGCAATTTCATTTCCTTCTTCTCTCGCCGATCGATGTCGATCATTTCGCTTTAATGCGGGCACAGTATTTCTACCGGAGTTTTATTCGCGTCTCCACTTCGCGGAGGAAAGAATCTGCCGAAGAAAAATCATTTCGATTCTACGGAGGATTTTTTACATTTATTTTTCGTCCACGGATTTTTTTTCTCTTTAATCTTATTGGTGATTTAATTCTGATTTCGTCCGAGTATTTAATATACACAAGATTTTTCGTTCTTTCTACAGAGGAAACTTTTTTTCATTCACTTCTTATTTTATTGGCAATTTATTCCTGATTTTGCCTAGCTGTAGCAGTCGGAGGATTTTTTTTTTTCATCTACAGAGGTAATTCTTTTTTTCATTTATTTTTATCTTATTGGTAATTTATTCCTGCTGCCTTCCCATGTCACCTGTACTTTCCGCGGATTAATCCCAACGCGGAACGAAGGCGAGAGGAGACTGTGCGCAATTCGTTCGAAAGATTCGATGGAAAACGCATGCGGTGACGATATAAAGGAAAATGTGATTCGGTCGGTGATTGCGTAGCAGTATTGAAACGAAAAAAAAAAAAAAAAAAAAAAAAGAAAAAATAGAAAGAAGAAAGAGAGGGACAAACCGCGTGTGATGGAAAAACCGCGATAGTGGATATGAGAGAAAAATAGGAAAGAGAGAGAAAGACAAACGTAAGAGGAAAGTATAGGAGGCGGAAAAAGAGAAGAAAGGCGCGAATCGATTGGATCCGATCGGGTTAAAACGTTTTCCCGGTCGATCGTTTCCTCGTCGCGGGAAGGTTCGTCAGAGAATCGCGTCTCGAGACTCGAATCTCGATAGATCGCCTCGGCCGACGCCTCCTTGCCTACTTTCTATCGCCCTGAAACGTATCCCGAGGTGCAGCGGTAAAATCCTCTCCGAGAGAAACGAGTTTTATATGGTCGATTCTCTCACGGCGAAACGCGACGAAACGAGCGTAATTGCGCGAGGATAGTACCGGGATCGGCTCCTTCTTTCTTTTTTTTTTTCTTTCCCTTCGATCCCTTTCTTGTCACGCCCGGTTAAAGGAGGAGGAGAAGGAGCCTTGGAAAACGAAGGAGTGCCGTTTAATCGCGCGGCGGCGAGCAATCGATCGATCGATCGATCGGAGAGACGATCTCGAAACGATTTTAATATCGGCGTCGAAAATTTAAAACGCGAGATGGTATAAAGTGAACGACTTAACTATATCTCTTCTTGCGTAAAATCGCAGAAGTAAAAGAAATTTAAGATTCCTTCCGTCAGATTAAAGAAGAGATTCACGGAGCAGATATATAAGAATAACGCGTTTCATGGTCGACGACTTTTCTTGTTGCGTTCTATTTGTTGTTATTATTATTATTATTATTTTTTTTTTTTTGAAAGAAAAAAACTAGTCGATCTTACGCGACCGACTATAGATTAATAAAACAGAATCGGAGAAGCTTTGATGACACAGCGCAGCGTTATTTCCTCTTTGCAGCGCCAGCTCGCAGCGTCGGGTTTTCGAGGGAGGATCGTCCGACGAGGTCGCAAAATAGACAAGAGGGAAAAACGGCGAATCGGAAGGAAGAAAAATATAGATATCCCGTCGTGCCATCGCGCGCCCTGTTTATCCTGGGAATCGAGCCGAGCGCGCGGGCGCCTCGACACTTGACGCGATTGCTTCGAGGCAAGAAGGATCCTGGAAGGATCGAACGGAAGGAAAACAACGTGCGCGGGATATGTACCGGGAGCCGAACAGCTCGTCGGGCAGCAACGCCTCCACCAAGGGCGACGAGGTCGAGCTTGTCAGTAGGTTCCTGGCGCCGCTCTGCGCCAGGGACGAGGCGGCCAGGAACATTGCCCTGGCCGCGGCCAGGACCACCGTCGAGGGATGGCTGGGCAGCGTCGACGGTTCGAATCGCTGGGAGGACGCCAGCGACGTCGAGGACACCAAGAGCGCGACCGGCAAGTTCTCCGGTCAAGACGGAAGGTAAGTTGACCCACTTACTCATCCCCGATAATAATTAAAGAAATTATAAAATCGGATTTATCATATTTTTACATGAATTTAATATGATTCTCTTTTGGAAAAGAAAACGATTTTTTTTATATACAATGAAAATATACCTATTAGTCAGAAATGTAAAAAAATTATTTTTAATAATGAAAAAAAAAATCGAACGAAGATATAAAATCGGATTTATCATATTTTTCCATCAATTTGATCTATTAAAAAAGAAAAATATTTTTTTGTATGCGGAAAAAAATATTATAAATATTCCTCGTTTTTTATAATTAAAAAAAAAATATATAAAATTGGATTTATCATTTTTTCATCAATTTGATATAATTCTTTATTAGGAAAGAAACACAAGATTTTTTTGTATGTACAGAAAAAAATATTAGCGCTGCTATATTAGCTAAATTTTTTTAATATACTCTCATATTATACTTGAAATTTAATTAATATTGTATGTTTAAATTTTAGCTACGATGACCAGTATTTTTAACTTTGTAATTCAATGGGGAATTCTCTATTAAATTATAGCTTTAAAAATATTTCTAAAAGCTAAGTAATTAATTTTTTTCCGTGTATAAAAAAAGTCACTTTCTTTTTTTCTAACAGAGAATTATATCCAATTCGTGGAAAAATGTGATGTATCCAATTTTATTACATTTTTGTTGATTTTCTTAATCGTTAAAAAAAAGAGATACATCTCTGATTTACATTATATATTTAAAAGCTTTCTTTATTTAATCTATATCTATCGTTCGTATTATTAATAAAGATGCACGTCAAAAAAAAATTCTAAAATTATATTGATTCGATGCAAAAGACAATAACAGATTTGATTAATTTCTGCTCGTTTCTACCTGTCGCTGTTTTTTTTAAATTTGTATATCCTCGTTTTTCTGGATAAATGGATCAATGTATAATGTTAGAGATTGCGGTATTTTAATTACAATCCCGATAAATTTTAGAACTATACATATGTTCGCTATCACGTGCCTTCATACATTCGTATTTAGGTTTAATTGGATATGCTGTAATAAATTCTTGACCATTTCATTTTCTGTCCCGTAGAATAAATACGAGCGTGTCGCTAGGATGCGTTAAAATTATACGATTTGTTGAACAACTTTGTTTATCAGTATCAATTATCAATACCAATTAATTAACAATTGATCAATTAACGATTTATTAGATAACAAATAATCTATATGTGTATAAAATACATCGTGTGTAATAAATATTTCCTAAAATAATTCGACTTTGCGTATCATAATTTTGATCGAGCGGACATGTTTAATCGGCGCAAACATTTCGTTCCGTGCACTCTCGGCAAATTATTGGTTCTGGATTTAATATCAGCATTCGGTCACGCAAACACGTAAAATCCCGACGTGAACGCGGTACTTAAATAATCACGAGCGGTTCATTAAAATGTGCACGTTATAGAGATTAGTAATAAACACGCAGGAGAAATTATACTCGTTTAAGCATAACTGCAAGGACTATTGCGGAGAAAGAGATTTGCTATATCTCTGTCTTTTTCTTTTTTTTTTTTTGTTAATATATTCACGTAACTCTCGTCTTTGTTCCTTCCTAAAGTTTCGGAGCGTTTTTATTCAACTTCGAGATAATATATTAAATGCTCTCCATATTTATAGAACTTAAATAAAATTGCGAATAAAAATTGAACAATAATAGCAACAAATAACATCTATCTTGTTCCAATTTTATTTTATATTTGTATGTATTTTCCCTAATTTATTTCAAAATTATTTTATCAACGATTAAATGGCACTTAAAAAGATTCATAAGCCGGAATCACACGCGCGCACGTCTGTCAATCGAGTGGCTTTTAATTAAAAAAAAAAAAAAAAAATAAATAAAATAAATAAAAATCGTGTTTGGTTGAAGATACGACATGAGTGTCGAGCGGTCGCCGACGAGGTCATCTCCGAGGAGCGTACACCAGCACCAGCTCCTGCAGGAGACATTCCGAACAGAGGGCTTCTTCCCGCAAAGCGTGAACGATAACCCGGCGTCGTTTCTCGAGGAGAACAATTCAGAGTCCTCGTTCGATTGCGTGGACGGACGTCTTCTGAACGAGAGGCGGTTCCGCGAGCGATACGGCGACGGTGTCGAGAGCAGCAGGTCTGGCCATTCAACCTCCTCGGACGAGGGTAGCAAGGGCTTCAACAACGAGGGGACCAGATGCCCGCGTTTCGGTTCTAATTGCGAGAGCGAGCGAAAGTATCATCCGGGCTCGTCGTCCAGCGACAGGTCGACGAGCGAGGATTATTGTCCTGGCAGGACGAAGAACAATTACGTGAAGTGAAGGGCGCCAAGCAGAAGCAGCTGGAGGACGACGAGCTCGACGCGGACACCCGGGTTTACGGCAAGAGTCCCAAGTTCGACGACAATCTCAGCGGCCTCGCGTCGTTCGACTGCCGGAATCGCCGAGCCAAAATCGCCGCCGGCGGCGATCAGCTGACGCACGAGCAGCGCCGATACTATGACGCCGGCACCGACGACGACGTGTCCTTCAATGAAAGCGAGGCGGCGCGCAGCGACGGGGTCGTCTTCAACACGCTCGACGGCTTCGAGAACGAGAACGAGCCGTCTTACTGCCAGGACATGAATCTGGAGAGCCGGGAGACGGCGGTGGTCCACGAAGATAACCCGGAGGATCCACGCGGCCGGGCGCAGCAGCAGGATTATCTGCGCAAGAACGACGAGAGGAAGTTTAGCGCCGGCCAGATCAAGAGGCCTCTCTCGCAGGACGAGGACGTGTCCACGAAAAGCGGCCGGGTGCTCGAGAGCCCGGAAGTGACGCCCGGCGACGTCGGCAGGATGTTGAATCTCGGTAACGCCTTGGACGGACCCAGGCAGGCTCAGGCCAACAAGTATCTGAGTCTGGTGACGTTGCATCTGCCGGTGATACTCAGGCTCAGCGTCAACTGTCCCTTTCAGAACGTCAGGATCAAGTGCGCGGAGATCCTCCAGATGGTCAAGGTGAGCGATCATTTATTCAATCTGTTTATCGGAGACGGTTTTGGAATTGGTGCGTGTGCCAAGTAATATATAGCGTCCTTCGCGTTTAAATAAATCTGCGTTAACATTAATTGGCAATCGTTTCAATTTATTCAGGGTTAAAGCTATTTTATGTATTTTCAACTATTTCTCTGGTTTCTTTACTTATGTCACCAATTAATTCCTATATATATATATATATAGGAATTAATTGGTGACATAAGTATTTCTTTTTGATAAATAGTGTTTCTCAAGCTTGTGACACAAGCAGTATAAATATATCTGCAGCCAATTTAACGAGTTGATTAATCTCGATTTTATCTTCTCGATAAAATCTTCTCGGGTTTGAAGAGGCGCGGCGGAGGAAGTTGCGAAAATAAAAATGAGAAAAAAAAATGAAAACCGCTTATTGTCCGTGGTTATCTGTGCTTTGACGGAAATTAAATACCGCTGTCTACCCTGAGTCAGAGTACACGGGACACTCCGGAAGAAAAAAATCTCGGCGAAACGATGCGAGAGATAACGGATAGCTTAGATATGGTTGTGTACAAAGTTTCGCCCGCGAAGTCTCCGACGAAGCAGATATTAACGCGACCGCGAAGTTTGCACTCTCGCGTGCACTCGGCTGAAATTCTTTCGCAACAGTTCCAACACTCAAGTTTGCACTCGCTCGAACATTCCTCGCCCGGTATGCACGTATATGTGCTTGGTAAAGTTTATTAGGCAACACGAGACAGAGTTAAAAACGCGGCGAACATAAAGAGACGCGTACGGAAATACGGAATATCACACCTGTTCCTCAGGATCAAACTGTCCAACTTTATGAAATGCGAAATCGTTTCCACGTGTTTTGCAACACGAACGAAAAGTTAGATTATCGTAAGACTTGGTAATTTTGGCTGCAATTTCTTGCAAAAATTAAGTATCTAAAATATGTTTAATATATTTTAAGTATTATATATTATAATAAATTATTAATATTAAATATATTAATGAAAAATACAAAATTGAATATTTAAAAAATATAATATAATTAAAAATCTGAAAAAAATAGAATGTCGTGTAATTTTGGAGCAACTTCCGCGTCCCGGAGAGGAAGTGCACAATTATTCTGAGATACGTTGTACACATTCCGCGGCGGAATTGAGATTGTCCAGAATATTTCAAGCTTTATCTCTCCAGTTTCGCGGCAATTTATCCGAGTCCTTCGCGAAGAGTAACTGCCAGGCGCGATTCTTACGCTGCTGTGACTTTTGTATCTTCTGCTCTTAATGCGCGCCGTTGTTTTATAGCTTTCTTAATAAACAAACTACACCAGGGGAGATTTACAGAGCTTCTTTCTCGCGCATCTCGGAACTCAACTTTTCGCACCCAGGTTTTATTTTTTTAATCGGAAAAGAATTAAAATGTTTTACCTATATTAATCCTATACAATTAAATCGTAGCAAGTGTCTTGACAAAATTTGACAACCCGACGTCTCTTCGGGTAATCTTCGACAACGGGACAAAATGGTGATTACTTGAAACTCGCGTAAGCTACGTGTAAAGTGAGTGCGTGGGAACTCAACTTTTCGCACCCAGGTTTTATTTCTTTAATCGGAAAAGAATTAAAATGTTTTACCTATATTAATCCCATACAATTAAATCGTAGCAAGTGTCTTGACAAAATTTGACAACCCGACGTCTCTTCGGGTAATTTTCGACGACGGGACAAAATGGTGATTACTTGAAACTCGCGTAAGCTACGTGTAAAGTGAGTGCGTCGGAACTCAACTTTTCGCACCCAGGTTTTATTTCTTTAATCGGAAAAGAATTAAAATGTTTTACCTATATTAATCCCATACAATTAAATCGTAGCAAGTGTCTTGACAAAATTTGACAACCCGACGTCTCTTCGGGTAATTTTCGACAACGGGACAAAATGGTGATTACTTGAAACTCGCGTAAGCTACGTGTAAAGTGAGTGCGTGGGAACTCAACTTTTCGCACTCAGGTTTCATTTCTTTAATCGGAAAAGAATTAAAATGTTTTACCTATATTAATCCCATACAATTAAATCGTAGCGAGTGTCTTGACAAAATTTGACAACCCGACATCTCTTCGGGTAATCTTCGACAACGGGACAAAATGGTAATTACTTGAAACTCGCGTAAGCTACGTGTAAAGTGAGTGCGTCGGAACTCAATTTTTCGCACCCAGGTTTTATTTCTTTAATCGGAAAAGAATAAAAATGTTTTACCTATATTAATCCCATACAATTAAATCGTAGCGAGTGTCTTGACAAAATTTGACAACCTGACGTCTCTTCGGGTAATCTTCGACGACGGGACAAAATGGTGATTACTTGAAACTCGCGTAAGCTACGTGTAAAGTGAGTGCGTGGGAATAATCCGGCGCAGGATGTGCTTATGCATAAAAGATAAACCGGATAGGAGTAACTGTCGGTTATATTAATGGACTTGTTTTGACTGGTTATTTGGGGAGGCGTTTGAACCGTGGGTCTCTAAAAATATCCTGTACCTAGGTGGTTCGCGGTTAAAGCACAAACTTCGGCCTATCGCGAGAGGGAGAGAGAGAGAGAGAATAGTTCTCTACTCGACAGTCATTAATCTTATTACGGCGGTAGTTAATCTTTTCGAAGAACCGTGGCAAATTGGACTAATCCAGCGTCCTTCGGTGCGCGGTTAAAAGAAATACCTGACAATACTGGTAAAACTAATCTCGCGCGAGCTGGTTAGGAGCGAACGAGCGAGCGAACATGCAATGCATCGCAAATATTCAAGTAACCGAGACGGAAATAGAACTACAAATCGAGAGAACGTTGTAAGATCGAAAGGTTTTTCAAAGACGTTTGCGACCGGCAACTTTGTGTTCTTTCTTTTAACGTCATTTCTTTTCTCGGCGTTCAAAATATATTTATTTGAATCTCGTTTCTGAATAGCAGGACGAAAGTTAACCGCAAAAATGATCGGCTATCTTCGAGCTTCTCGAGAAGCTCGAATGTATATTTTTATTCTTTTTTTTATACAAATTTCGGAAACTGTCTCGTGAACGCTGATTAATTCTTAGAATCGTAATACTCGTATAATAATGATTTGATCTTTTTTTGCAAACAGATGATTAATAATTTCTTTTTATACGAATTTTGTTTTCTTTTTTTATAAAACGTGTGTTTATATGTTAAAAACGTTTATAAATGAATTTGTTATTTTATTTATTTTAATTGCATAAATAATATGAGCGGGCTAAAAGTAAACCGTAAAAATAATCATCTTTGAACTTCTCGAGAAGCTCGAACGTATACATATTTTTATTTTCTTTCTACAAATTTCAGAAACTGTCTTGCGATTAATCGCTGATTAATTCTTAGAATTGTAAAATTCGTAATAATGATTTGATGATTCTCTTTTGAAAAGAGATGATTAATATTTTCTCTTTATACAAATTTTGTTTCGTTCTTTTATGAAACACGTGTGTTTATAAATGAATTTGTTTTTTTTATTTCTTTTAATTGCCTAAACAATATCATCTCGTTTACATTTTTTAAGATAATTATTACATATACAGGGTGTCCGGTAACTAACGGACCAATGATTAAGGGTGGATTCTCTGGCCAATTTGGAGACGATTTTTCCTTAGCAAAAATGTCAGAATAGAAGTCAATAATTTTCGAGTTATAAGCGATTGAAAAAAATGGGTTTTTTGAAAATTAAACGTTTTGGAGTTAAAAGTCTAACATAATTACATTCTTTAGTTAATTTCAGGTAGAGTTTACTGTAATAAAATATTAATTTGAGGCTTACAATTAGTTATAAAGATACATACTGACAAATATTGGGAAATTGTAAAAAATGATGACCTTTTTCGACATTTTCGCCGAGGAAAAATCGTTCTCAAATTGACCAAAGAATCCATTTGTAATCGTTGGTTCGTTAGTTACCGGACACCCTGTATACTATTTATTTAATAAAATAAATGAGACACAGGTAGGAAAGAATAATACATACATTGAAGAACGCATTGATATTTTTATCTCAATTAATGGCAAAGCAAAAATGTGCATTATGCGTATATTATTACATGCGTGAATGTAGAATCCGCTGTTTCGGCCGACAGTTATGCTCACCGATATTGTCACACTCGAGGTCGATCGATACGACTTGTGTGTAAAGCTTTATACATAGTGCAGAACAATTTTCAGGCACAAAGTCGACAGAAACAGAAAGGAGGTTTTAACGTAAAACATAATGTATCGTATTGTGACATCCATATAATCGTACATAAAATTTGTCATTCTAATTTTTCACTCTCTCTTTTCTTATGCTCAAAATATGTGTAATGGAGATTAAAATGTCTTTCTTTGAACGCGTAACGAAATTTAAATGCAAATTTGCAAAAACGAAATTTTAATCGAGATACTAGATTGTTGAAGTATAAAACATGTTTATTAAAATTCTCGTTTTAAAATATATAAGCATAAGAAATAGAATTTAATCAAGTCGTTTATTAAATGATATTGTCAATTTTAATTATGATGTAATTGTAAATTAAAATAATTATTTGACGGTATCGAGGATCATAACTATTGATAATTCTCTCAGTTTTAATATTCCATAAAATTTCTAATAGTATATAGAAAAATTGATGGTATTTGAAAATTTTATTTCAATTAATATCTGAAAGAGATAATTACACGACAAAAACATTCTTACATATATCTGTACAATAAAGTCAAATTATTCAGCGATATATCTACTTTATAATATCGCATTGTACTTTTATAGCAACCAAATTTTTCTCAACTTTTTTCATTGGGAGCTTTATTCGACGACTTATTTTACGAGTATGTAAAAATAATTTTTGCTACTTTTGTAAGATACAATTATTGAAATTTACAAAAAGAAAGCTCGCCCAACGTGGGGCTCGAACCCACGACCCTGAGATTAAGAGTCTCATGCTCTACCGACTGAGCTAGCCGGGCTGCTGAGAGCCCGATGCACCTCGCTAGTTTTCAGTCTGAAGCTGGATACAGTAAGAAATGTAATCTCTTTTTTTCGTTACAGGATAGAGGACTTCCAGTACCAGTGCCGGCTTTCGATGGACCTAGTGCCTTCGTTCCTCTCTCGGAGGTGAGTCTGCCGCATGCATGTCAATTGCTTTTGTAGACCGGTATGTCAACATGTGCTTACAACTGTCAAAATTGACGTTGATTGAAATTAAGCAAAGTTTGGAAGAACTTACGAGGTTTCTGCGTCTTTTTAATTATGATTTTAAAAGAAAGAGACAATTCAATCAAATCACAATGTTGGTTATAATTTGCGGGTGTTTTTATATAACACTTTGCATTTTGTGGGACGTAATCTTGAACAATTTTATCATCGATGCAGTATTACGATTATTTTATACAATAGCACAATTTTTGCAATTTAATAACGTACAAAGTAGAATATATTTTGAGATAAATGGAGATAAATGAAGATAAATATGTATATTAAATGCAATGATAAGGACTATTCATAATATAATCGATCACTTTTTATTCGCAAGGATAAATGTCACATTCGTGACAAACAAAATGTCATCATCGTATTTATAAAGTAATACAGTTTGAAATACTCCATTTTTTTGATTATGATATTTATCTCGTAATAACATGAGATGTTTTTTTTTGAAATCACAATTGAGATAGGTATATGAACATCATGAAAATGGACCAATTCGCATAAATGCGCGATCGATGATGCGTTAAAATGGACGCGTGCGACTTTCTTTTTCTTATTTTTATATATATATTTTTTATTTTTTTTTGTCTAGAGATCGGCACGGATAGCTAAATTATTTTACTCGCGGTCGTGGTCACAAAAAGTAGGACATGAAAAACGAATCGGTTAACGTTGCCGCGAAATCTGGGCCATCGCATTGGCGCCAACAGTGTCGATGATCTCGCCAGCTGATTGGCAATGGTCGGTAATGAGTCAATCCTGACGATTGGTTCACGTTATACCGGGTGTCAAGTCGGTCCATGCTTACTTGTCCCCCGATGACCTCTAATTTACTTTAATCAAACGTGAGTGTTGTGACTCTATCTCTGGCTGAAATATACTATATTTCTTATTACGTTGCTATCTATAAAGGAAACTGCATTGCCGATTGAGTAAATGTACATGGATCTTATTGGATAAAGTTTAAAAATAATTTTAACAAAATCTGTCATTACAAGTGTTAACAATTACGTGGGGGTTAATATTGTAATTAATACTGAATATTTTAATTTTGTCTAATTTTTTTTTACATATTTTTGACCAATTGTATTTATTGGAATAATATTAAATTATAATATTTTTTCTCTTTCATTATCTTATTCTTCGCATTTATTTAAATTTTTACATTTTATCAATATAGGATAGAAAAGGATATTTTGATTACGGTGTCGATTTACAGATGGCGCCATTGATCAAGTTATCGCACGATTCGAAAGCTTGTAATTAGCGCGACTATTAACGTCGTTCGATATATGAGCTTGTATGCAAATAATGAATGAATTTCCCCTGTGTTAAAAGTCACAAAGGAAATGCAGTTTTCAATATAACCCAAAGAGCTTTAATTAATTGTCTAATTATCATCAATGTCAATTATTAATTATATGGATTAGTAATGTTGTTTCGTCGCTATGAATTTTAATATAATTTAATAATAATAATATTACTCGAATCGCACATTTCGTGCTCGAGAATCGCTGATGCAATGTGTAGCAGCGAATTGCATATATTAACGAGAAACTAATTTTGTACTGCAATTTATTTTGATTAATACGCGAGTTTATATCGCGATCTTTACGCCAAAAGTGCTCATAATTTAGCGATTTGCGTTATTATCAAATATTACGTCCCGCATTAATTTGCGGATTATAATTTTGAATTCTTTTACGCAAAGTAAGTAATACACGCTATCGTCCTCGGTCGAGATAAGATTACTTACTCGTGTCGCCGCACGTTTTCGTAATACGAGGGTAAAATGTATTTGCTCGAATTATCGTAAAAACGTGCGTCGAGCTCGTAGTAATTATCCTCAATGGTATTATATAATGTAGTTATCACAGTATACATTTTGCTTCGTTATGTAATAAGAGAACATAGATATGTTGCCATTCATAAATAAGTTTAATCACCTCACACTACAAAAATTGGTTGATTTGACGAAATCATTCAACTAAATATTATTTTGTTAATTGAACATATAGAAATATTTAAAATAAATATAACATATTAAATCTAATAAATTTAATATATTTAACTAAAATACTAATATATGTTCAAGTAATTAAATAGTAATTTAGTTGAACGATTTAGTCAAGTTAATAATTTTTTTAGTGTATGTATCTCAGAATTAAACAAAAAAAGAATGTTTTAGAAAATACGGTATGCAACATTAAATTTCCATTCTATTAATCTTTCCTCAATATAAAGGAAACGTACTGTGAATTTACGTATTTTTTCTAGAAGAAAAATTATTTTACGTCAGTAATTTTTATGATTTATTATAAAGTGATTATAAAATATTTATCTAGTGAAACTGTGCACCTCTATTATAATACACGGCAAGGTAAGTGTAAACAAGTGTATACTTTTTTTTACAAATAAATCGCACACTATGGCTTTAATCGGGCGCATTATTCGCAATACTTTAAAATAAAACGAGGAATATAGATTTTTTCATCATATTAGATAAAATATTATCTTCTTCGCGCAATATGATTATAAAAAACATAGCATAAAAAAAGCTAAAAGAATAGGTTGAAAATTTAATACATATATATAGGCTCTCTCAGAAACAAGAGATCGTAATAGCGATTATTTTAATAACGACACTTTGCAATCTTTCAAGTTAAGCGGTTAAACGCTAAAGAACCAGCTCATGTACTTCGGTACTTTAGATAAGCTTGCTGTATAAAATTTTGTCGATATATACCTGTTTGATGTATCGCTTATTGATTCGTCTGTCATCTTTATATTATCCTTAACGTGCCTTCGACGTCAACGAAGTTGATGATCGATCATCGAGAACTCGAATAGGCCCGATGATGCATCATCGGGATCGTTGATTTTTATCATTATGTCTTTAGCTCCGTGCAAGATCTCTTATATTGTGTAGGCGATATTACGCATACGATTTATTTCTCATCTGAATAATATCACATTTTCGTGACATCATGCTGGATATCCTTGAATGCAAGCGAAACTAGATACGTATTTACGGAAAAGAATTTTTTTGCACATTCCACGTAATAATTGTAGAACGATTTTATAACGCGTTGATTACAAACATAATAATTATGTAAAAAAAACCGCGTCATGTTGTGTGCAATTTTTTTATATAATTTTACAACTTATGGATTATTTTCTCTCTCTCTCTCTCTCTCTCTCTCTTTCCGGTTTTTTCTATAAAATATTTTATTGTCTAATTTTATTGGGCCGAACGCTTTTATTGGATTATACGAAAGTATATCTTCTCTTCTATAACTATCTCACGTCCTCGATCAATTTCCAAAGGATATTATCGAACGTTCTACTTTGCGGTAGTTCTCCAGGTATCGGATGGAAACCGGCGTCAGAGATATCGAGAGGGAGAATAGTTGGTATGAGAACGAAGTTTTACTTCATCTGCTCGAAACCGCTGGCTCTCGAATCCGCTATTTCTCGAAACCAAATTCGAAACGATCTCCGAATTTCTATTACGCGATGGCCAATTTTCACGACATCTGTTGTATACTAGGACGTGGAAAAATCGTAGAAACATGTTTACGACGAAAAATGAAACGCGATAGAAAGAGCACTTTATTATGCATGTATACGAAGAAAGGGACTTGAAAACTCGCGGGAATCTTGATCGAGTCAATTGGATATTGTTCCCTAGGTCAAGCGATTACGAATGGTTCATATACGTGCTTCATACACAGACTTCATCGGGGAACGCGAATTGAATCTTCGATATTTCATATTTGCCTCTTTGCGCTTTTTCAAAATGATAATTTCGTGTCGCGCAATTTCGCTGATAACGCACTTGGGATCTGTTTTTACTTTATATATTATATATATATATATATATATTTTATTTTTAGTTATTTTATTTATTAATTAAATTTTTATTTTATTATTTATTTTATTTTATTTATTTTATTAATTTTATTATATATATACTTCATATTTTTTACTTTTATATATATATATTTTTTATTTTTAGTTATTTTATTTATTAATTAATTTTTTATTTTATTAATTTATTTTATTTAATTTATTTTATTAATTTTATTATATATATACTTCATATTTTTTACTCTATATTTTATTTTATTCTAGAATAAAAATCGGTTGCTTTTACATTTTTATATAGATACACGGAGAGAATTTTCTCTTAGAATTTACCCTGAAAATCATGATAATCGCAGGGCAGTATTGGATTTTTAAGAATTTTATGAGTTCCTCTGATTAAAAATATTTACCACAAAAAAAAATATTAATATATACACAGTAAATTTTATGTACATAGTAAAATTAATCGAAAATTTTTATATCTTATTGTGGTAGATATTGGTATTTTTTATTGTGGCAAATATTAATTAGAAAAATTGTTATAAAATTCTTCCAATACCATATTATAAATTCTAAGAGAAAATTTTATTTGTGTACGAAGGATAAAATGACGAAAGATTTTATAGTTATAGAGATGAGACTTTCGGTATGAGAGACATATTAATCTCCACGATACTTCATTATAGCGCATCGAAGTTGAAAATTTATTCGAAATTAGATCCCGTGTTTTATCACGTTCCACTTTGTATTTCTCCGCAAACATTTTCCCTCTTCGTAAGGAATAAAGTACTTTATTAATTGCGTATTGGAGCGCGGAATTTTGCTCGCTTAACCCTTAAAGCGCAGCAGTAAAGGGCATAGTGCACGATTTACTCCGGTTAATGACGTTAATTAGCGCCTAAACCGCGGTGCCATTTCGACATCTCGTGTATGAAAGCGCGAGATATCAAAGCGAAGTAATCAGGAGACGGCACTAATTTCAGAAATCGTTAATACCATATTAAGATAACGATTAGAGCGAGTATTCTAAGTGTCTCTTT